AATTATAATGTAAAGAAGCCTCCCAGACATCCCCCAAATAAGATTTCAGGCTGTGCATAGAATTATCTTGCAGACACGATTCATGGGCCAAAAGGTTTCTTGTTCTCACTATACCAGCATTGCAGCTTGCAGCAGCCCTGCTCTCATTGCAAACCTGAATATGGTTATCCAGTACAAATTTCAGGATCATATTCCTAATCAAAGATTTTTACATGCACTGAAAAGGTAATGTGTGCTGATACCAATGCTTTAGTCCCATAAAGGTAAAAAGTAAAGGTAAAAAGTACCTCTAATTGCTTGGGATGAGGTAAGATTATAAATAATTTGAAACCTTTGCCTCAAGTTACACAAAAGAAAAACTAGACTTCCCTCCATCCCATTTCCTCTCATACATCAGCAGTACTGAAAAGTCAAACACTGCTAAATGAATCCATAAAAACTTATTAAAATTGGAACAGATAGAGAAGATTCAAGTTGCAATATCTTTCAAAAATGAGAGCGAAAAGGAAAGCTCATTTTGACAGCAGCTTTAAATCACAGCTTGATCTAATAATTATCCTATAATTGCCCTTTGTTACATGCTCAGCTCCAAGTCATTCAGTGGACTCATTTTTTACCACATAATGACTAAGACAGCTTGTAAAAGGAAAGGAATCCTTTAAGCCAAGAAAAGAAAATCGTTAGACATTTTCATTCCTTTTAGTCCTTTGGATATCAGTAACGACTGCAAATAATATATCCATTTTGCACACAGCAGGAAAAGAGGATATGCAATTCAAAATTGTTTTTAAATAAAAAATACTGGATAGGTACTTTGTTTCCAAAACAGCTTTTCCGTGCTGTCACACCCATTATTTGCCCCTCTTTAGCTCCTCTTCTTCGCCCAGTAGTCTTCCAATAAAGGCAGCCCCAAGCTAAAATTATATTGTAAAGAGAGACAGAATTTTTTCACTTTCAACAGAACAAAAAAATTCTTTCCATTAAAATGGAATAGAAATGTTCATATAAGCTTTTAAAACTATTTTAATTCCTATATGCTTCTTTCAGGTTTCCATTATTTACGACCATCTACAAGATCTGCTACGAGGGTCGATCAATCCAGGATTTCATCATGTGCCTGCAGAACCACCCAGAGCACATGTAGAGATCCCTTCTCCTCACCTGGCTGAATTCTCACCTTCCTGGGACTTCTGTCCACTCCACAGCAATTGAAGTAGAGAAACAGGTTGTGTGACACTTGTTGTAAAAGCAGCAAAGAATGTATTTAATTCCCCTTGTCCTGGGGGTAAAAACATCTGCCTTTAATTTCAATTTACACCTAAGGAATAGGAAACAAATGTAAAACTTAACATTATTTCATTTGAGTTAGTAATGTGGGTATTTCCCTATAATTATTTTCTTGCTGACTGAAAACAGTTCCCCTTGTAATTTCTACAACAGAGCTAAATAGCTCACATAGAACTCAACGTTTTGCCTACAGTTACTTCTAGAATGGCACAACACATAGCAAAATCAAAGAACTAATTCAAACAGACAAATCATAGTTTAAAAAATCCAAGAGCAGTTAGATGCAATTGCATGGGCAAATGCTGGATTTCCATAATTCCCCTCAAACACAAACATTTTGTATTCTGGGACATTTAGGCCTTCCTTGATTTAGTTTCCCAGTAGAAGCTTCTTTGGAAAAATAGGTACTATTACTGTACTCAGACACACAAGAATGTTCATCAGATGTATAAATAAAACAGTTTAAGGGGTGGGGGAAAGGAGAAAGGGTTTGGGATGGGTGTACTGTTTGTTTCAAATCTGGGACACTAGGAATCCTCAATAGTAATCTGACCTTGATTAAATTTACTGTATTCCTTTAAAATATAGAAAAAACCATCCGAAATAACCAAAGACAATTTTGTTAGCATCAGATTTTCTCAGCAAGTCCTCACCATTAATTTGAACCAGCTGAGAGGGGGTAAGTGGAGGTTGACAGGGAGATGTACCCAGGGCTCAGCTTGCAGCTTGTGCACTTGCTGATATTTTGAGGGGGCAACCAGTAACAGTGACAAACTCTCTGTGATACTTGACTTTCTGTACCTGTATGGAGATGACCGCTATAGACGCACAGAACTCCTGTAAACTGGCATTTCACACCAGGCTGCATTCCAGGAAACTCCACTGCTCCTTCCCAGCCTGCAGAGTTGTGTCCTGATCCTGCTCCAGCAGCACATCTTACACTCCAGGAGAGAGATCTCCCATCTGCTTCTGAATTTTAAACACAAACTGGGTTCACAGACCAGGGGTTTTTATTGTGCTACCAGTGGCGTGAATTTTAGAAACATTAAAGTTTTTTAACCTTATAGCTGTACTTGGGTAAATTTACATACCTGATATTTTTCAGAGTTAAAAACATCTACAAAATGAACAGTGGCGCATTTTATAAGCTTTAATCCCCTTTTGAAATACTCCTATTTTGAGAGAAGGCAAAAAAAAAAAGGAAGAGTAACCTACTTTTGCTGTGCTTTATCAGATTTTCTGAAATAGCAGAGAGGAAGGCAAGGTTTTTTAAATCTATGTATTCGCTGTCATATTGCTTAGAGGAAAAAAATGAGCTAATTATAAAATAATTTCAACTGATTTTAGAGGAATTATAGGTCTTTCACATTTACCAGAGTAATATATATATAAAATAATGTATTGTAATTACAAATATATTGTAAAAAAATCTCAGTCTCACAGCTAGCAAAGCTAGCTCAGGCACCAAAAGCAGTGGCTGCAGCATCCCTGATCCTCCTGAACAGCAGCAAGGGTAGCTCAGCTCCTCCTGCTCAGACTCCAGGCACAGCTAACAGCTTGGGGCTCTGCAGAGCAACACCAACATTCCTAACACTGAAATGGAAATCATGTGACCAAATCCTTCCCACAAAGCAGGGAATTTATGATCTTCAATTTGAAGTGGAAAAATACAAGTTGCACAGTTTTGAAGTATCAAATACATGAGGATGGGATAGAGAATTCAGGAACCTCCTTCCTTCACCATCAGGCTGAATTTCTGATAAGTCATGAATGAGCTAATAATAACATAGAATATTTTACATTCAAAGTGTATCAAATAACAGTTTAATAAAGTGATCAGTATGCAGACTTGATGTAATTTCATTTTTCAACATTCTCACAAAATAAATTACTGTTGTAATACTGGTCCTTTATTGCTCTTACTCTTGCAGTTAATCATTGTCAGCTCTCAAAGAAAAGGACAAGAAGAATTAATATTCTACAGATATTTTATTGAAGAACAGTTTTTTCTTCTGTTGCATGACATACCTTTTTTAAACAGTAAAATAAGGAAATTAGCCCTTATATCTCAGTCCAGCCAAAATCTGTGTAAAATAGTTCTGTATTTACATTCTGTACCAAAATAGGAAACACATGTTCAAGGTCAGCCAGTTCTCTCAAAACTGTTGTTTTATCTGCAAGGTAAGCTTCACAATAAAAAGGCAACATTTGCACTTTGGAAGTCTGGTAATGTAAGATCCCATTATTCAGTGCACAAACAGCCCCAAATCCTGCAGAGCAGTACATACATGCAGGCAGGCACCCCCACATCCAAACAAGCTAAAAACAGGGGTTCAGTCTTGCAGGGAAAACACCCTGAGCTGCTCAGCTGGCTGGAAGTCACTCCTTGGAAATGTGGGGAAGGAAGGACGCACACCTCCCTCTCTACTGAATATCATCAAGCAGAAAGATGTGCAGGACAGGAAGATTTAAAAACAACTGGTCTCATAAGGGATTGTGGATATGTCTGCTCTCAGACATCAGCCTCTCCAGTTTATTAGAGCTCAGCAGAAAGAATGAGCTGTGTTGGACTGACAGTCAATTAATGGGGGATATAATTCAGTAATTAACCTACATCAAGGGCCCTGACTGTATCCCAAGACCTCAACTCATTTCAGGAGGAATGAATTGCTGTTTTTCCATATGATTTTACTTGCTGCATTCTCCAGCCAAAAGCTATCCCTCTTCCTTATAATTGCAACACTAGAAAAAATGTGTTCCTAAAAGATGACTTGCTTCAATTTCTAATTGAAATTATTTGAACTACCGGGACCAAAAAAGACTGCAAGACTAATTTATCTTCCCTAAGCAAACGTGGAATATTTTTTAAAAATTATAAAGTTAAAATTGTGGACACTATACACCAAAAATGTTTCTGTTACAGATGAGCAAACTCATGCATCTCAGCACAACTTCCAGGGCTCCTGCTGCCCAGTCTTCTCTGGTGGAAACACAAAGGCTTCCATGGGCTGTATTTCCAAGTTTTCACACTTAAGAGATGCAATAGGAGGGACTGGTCATGTGTGGTCAGGACACCTAACACAGCAAACGTTGCATTTATTTAAAAGAATTCTGAATTTTATGGCAGAAACTACACTTAAGGCTATATAACTGAGCTGCTTAAGCTACAATTTTAGCTGTGTTCTATACTCAAAAATGGCTTATGCTTCCTACTGTAGTAATTTTACTCTTAAAAACCTGAGACATGATTTGACTTAATTCATGTTAAGATCTGGAAGTTCACAGCAGGCTAAAAGCTGAACGCAAAGACAAACAGAACTGAGGTAGTCAGCTTTACTCAAATATTCTCTATGACAGCTACCAGTTCATTGCCACTTTAAGCTGACACATTCCCTGGGAGTTCCCACAAGGCCACAGCTGCTAGCAGCTGCTAACCCACTGCTGGGATGGATGATGTTGCATTTTTCTGACTGAAGTACCTTCCATGCCCAACCCCCCAAAGCCATGTCCAGTTCTGCAGTTCACAGGCAGCTCAAGGGCTGCAGCACAAAGAAATTACAATGAAAGCTCAGATTATTAAGGCAGTAGCAGTTTTACTTCACTGATTCACTGATGCAGCTGCTTTGCAGGTACTGGTGAACCTGACCACAAGAGCTCTAACAGGCTGATAGATTTTTCCCCTTTCAATACAAAGCACTACATCCCCTTTCTTTAATTAATGCATACAATTCAGAAGTAGGTAAGCATCAACTTTCTAACCCATCTTTCAGTTAATTCTCAGGAAGAGAGATTAAAAGAAGAAAAGCCCTCAAGATAAACAACTGTGTAGAAGATAAAAATATTCAATTAAATATGACAAATCTCACACTTAGACAAACAGGAGACCAGCATATCAAATACTGAGCACAATATATTAACACCAGTTAAAAAGTTTAACAGTTATAAAGTTAACCAGAAAGTTCAGACAGTGCAAACATTTCACAGTAAGAAAAAATAACCAGTAATTTCTTTTCAAGTATCAAAAGCATTGTTGTTGAGTGATACCATTTGAACTGCATTATTGCACAACAGACAAAAAATACAATATCAACCTCTAGGACTTAAGATGTATTCTCAAACCTGTATGTTTTCCAGGTATCAGTTTACATTGACTGTTTTGTGGCTATATTAAAATAATTACTGATCACTTATCAATCTGAATGTTTAGTAATTCAGTTTGTACAATTTTAAAGCCTTTGAGTCCTGACTTGTATTGCTTCTCTGAGACACTGATTTAAGGCTAGCCTAGGCCTTGTGTAATTCACAGCAAGCTTAACCTGCAGTTAGGAGGGAGAACTAGCCCAGTGCAAGGTGCTCTCAACTGTGATGTCTTTAGACAGTTTAAGGTTGCACCTTACTTGCCTCAGCAGTGTCATAAGTTTCCTCAAATAAAAAAATAATAATAATAAAAAAACCCAACAAAATCGAGTCCAGTAGGCACAAAGAATTTCTTACAATCATGATGGAAGTCCTATTATTACAGTAAAATTGTACCTAAAGTTTTACTCCATCTCCCTGCTTTCCATTTAGGAAAGGGATCCAGCCACTGACAATTATAATGCCACAGAACATTTAAGAAGCAGAGTAACATCATCTTTCTCCCTACATCTGCATTTTTTAGTGCAATGGGCATGTCTGCCTCCTTAAATTTAACACTTTTCCAGGAGTGAAAACTGTCCTAAAAGGACAGACAGTGGATTGAACCACAAAGGGTTTCTTTACCTCTGAACAGGATTATTTGTAAACACATTATAGGCAGAAATAAATAGAAATAAGGGTCCTATAGAGCAGCTGTCCTTACCTTGACAGATTTTACTCATTTCCTTCCTCTTATATATTTTGTCATCAAGTGATTAATTTTGTAGCAAGGTGTGCCCTCATGTGGCTCAAACCATCTGATTCTCAGCTTACTACAAATACTCAAATAATCCATAGTATTTACATGTCCAAAAAGAATAGAGGGAAGAAAAAAAGAAAACAGATTAGGCTTTCCTTCCACATTCAATATAGTTTTTGGTCTAGAGACATCAGCATGATCCTGTAAGATTATAGCTGCCATTGCTACTGGTTTGCTCTTCAACAAGTGAGAACATCTGCAGTAATGTCCATACTAGTTTTGAAACAATAATGCCATTATTTGAGAAACAAACCAACAAAATGTAAAATAATCATAAATCCTATCCCAAATTTACAGTCTGAGTATCAGTACTGAAATGCATTTGCCTGGCAAACTCTACAGGATATTCAAATGTGATGTATTAAATTTCACAGTAGAACTGGCACATGCTAAATGACAATGGGATTTCTAGACAGCTGGTTACCAGTCTGAAATTCCATTTTGTGCATGTAGGAAGATGTAATGAACCCCAAGAATTAACTGCTTTACCCAGTATGAATTCTGAGGGGGCTCAATGCTGCAGAATACATTGTGGAGGAATCTGCCAACCACTGGTTTATCCAATTACATTCTTTCCTCCCTCATAAATTTTAAGAATTAAAAAAACAAACAAACAAATTACCAGCCTCTTTAGGCCTTGGTTATCAGCAGTGATGACAACTGATTTTTACATGGCTTTTGACTAAACCACTGAGGTATATTTCCAGTTTGAGGATGCTTTGCTACCAATCACACAACAGACATAACAAAAAACCAGCCCTCAGTTCTATTACAGAAGAGTTCCCATTTCAAATGTTGACTGAGCTGCCAGGTAGTTTAACACAGTTGGCAAAGTGGATCTTGTTATTGCATCAAAAAAACCCATAGATTGCAATTCAGGAAAATACTGGCACTTATTGAGATGACAAGGTAAATTTTCCTCCTCTCAAAATTCTCTCTGCTTTTGTCAACACCTCCCTGACTACTGTGTGCAGCAATACTTGCCAGAGGAGATGAGGTTCAGCAGGAGAGAGCTGCCTGCTGAGACAGAACCCCCGTGCTCCACAGCAAGGAGGGCAGCAGGATGGGAATTGTCTCAGAACTTCTTCTTGCCCCAAGCTCAAGTCTATGCGCAGAGAAACAATCCTGTTAGCAGGGGAACTAAGTTGGCCACCAGCAGCCAAAGGGTTACAACCAGGCTGGATGAGCAGGAGCATAAGTCTAAAATTAAAAAAATAATAATTTTACATTTAAAGACAAGATAAAATGACAAAGAGAACACTAAAAACTACCAAAGAGTTAAAACAAGCTTCTTGACAAAACATTGGCTGGTATTTAGTGAATTCAGCTTTTTGCCTTCCTCAAAAAGAAAACTGACTCTCATCTTTCTGCATTACAACATGAACATTATCAATAGGAAGTTATTACATGTGAGAACTCACTTTCCATCAAGGTGATAATTAAAATAAAGATTATAATAACAATATGGCCTTCAAAACACAGGTCAGATTTCCTGACAAATTCCCAGGCTAAAGCTGGATCTCTGGGATGATTACCAGAAGGAGACGTGACATGAAGGCGTTATGTTTCAGACACATTTCTCCTGTGTTAGTCACTGTTCTGCACGACTGCACAGCAAAACACAGGGCACCTTTCCTATTTCCTCTGCCTCCTACACCTAGGATCTTAAAATAGCCACAGCCTTCCTTTCCTGTTCCTGACAGTCAGAGCTGACACAAAGCTTTGACGTTTTCAGATATTTAATACTGAAGTTTCACTTCAGCAAAAAAGGCAACCTACCAATGGGTGCAGCTCTTGTTAAGTTAGAAGCTGGAGGATCCCTCTCTGGGGGACAGGAGTCACAGAAGTCTGAACAGGCTGGGCAGATCAGATTGCCAATGTGTACCCAGCCATTCATCTGAATGCTCACAGTCAGCACCTGGCCTGAGCGGCTGCACAAGTACGCAGTGTCCTTGACCCACACGTGCAGCCCTTGTGGAGAGCAAGAAACCTTCAAATAAAAGAGTAAGAGTCAAGTCTGTACTATGATTTGTTGCAGCATATCACAGTTGAGACAGCCACAATACAGAGAATATCATCACACAATTACAGAAGGCTTCAACCCATTCAGAGTAACACCAGACTACTTCAGAAGGCTTCAGTGTCTGCCCTTCTTGTTCTTTAGCCTAACCTTTTATACCCCCATGTTGATGCACTGCACCTGTGTGCCCTCTGCTCCCTTTGGTGGTTGGTCAGTGCCCCTGGGCACTCCATGGCTCATTGCTGTCAGTGCTGCTCACCTGCTGCTCACAGCTGAGCCCATTGGGGATGAGGCTGGGCCAGCCCTACTCCCAATCACCACAAACTGCACCTACAGTGATTTATCAGAAGCACAGATTAACTGCAGGTATTTTAATGCAATCTGGGCAACTATAAGATTCAGGAATGCTTCTTCAAAGCACTGACTATACTCTTTTTGTGCAATTATGCAGATCATCAGCTGAGAATGAGTAAAACTTGGCTTCTGCTAATGACCACTTTTGCAGAGTTGTGCAGTTACTGAATGTGACACCTTTAGTGAAATTGTCCCAAAGAAAATGAGAAGTAAGTGACATGTGCACAGTGCTTTCCACCTTTGAAAAATCAGAGTGACTAATTAATGTTAAGCTTCAACAACAGAACATTTCATGGAAGTATTGCTTCTTAGCTGAGGATAAAGTGCTACAGGGTAAGACACATGACGTCCCTAGTGAGACTGGAAGCCATCCCAGCAGTCACACACTTAACTATCTAAATCATAGGCTTATGGTTGGAAGATTGTTTTCAAAGTATGTTATATGATCCACAGATTACAATGCAAGTGAAAAATTCTAACAGTCACAACCAACATTTTAAGCCTGACTTTTCCCTTTAGGGTTATTAAAAAAGAAAACCCACTAAAAATCCAATGAATACTTACTTGATAACATCCACTACCCCAGTCAGGGTAACTGAGTTTCCTCCTGCACTGTTCCATAACAAAAGCAGATTTCTGAATAAGACATACAGAGTTTGGTCCATATTTCTCTGCACCATAGTTTTTGGTAGGATCTAAGGTAGAAGGAATACACTGAATTACAAGTTAACCAGAGGAACAGAAAGCCCACATCAATTTAAAAGGCTATCTAATCAATGTCCCCACATGCAATTCAAGGTTTACTTTGGGAAAATTTCAGACCCTGAATTATTATCAATTTGGGAATTATACCATCTTGAAAATAACGTGGGAAGAAACACAAGATTTAAGAAACAAACAAAATAATCAACTAACCACAAAAAAAACCCCACAATGAGTAAGCATTTCTATCAGAAAGTGGTTATGTTTACCCTCAGGGAATGCCAGCTGTGATTGCTGGTTTGAAGGCAGAGGGTGTTTGTTTTTGAGACAACTGCACAGACAGGTAATATCCCACAGCATTCTGGAGCTCTGCAATACTGAACATGCATGCATTACACTAGGAGACAAGCCCATGTTCTGGTAACCCACAAAGACCCTGGCCTTGAACAAAATACCCACAAAGGTGAAAAGTGCAATCACATTTCAGAGCCACAATCAACAACCCTCTCTCCCACCCCCATTCTTTGTCTTGTATTTGGGTCATTTGGGGTAGTATCTCTTCACTCCCTATGCAATTCCTGCAGTAGATATGTGAGTTTGCCTCAGGTGTACACAACAGCTGTGCTATGCTTCTTCTTACACAGCTGGTGGTGTGAAGCCTCATGAGTGAAAAAATTCACATGCAATTAGTCTGAACATGCAGCAAGTCCATTCCAAGTTAACAAATGCAATCTCTGCAAAACCACCCTGAAGTCCTGAATACTGACCTGGCTGGTTTTCAATTATTCTACAGTCTGAACTGCGTTGAAATTCGCCACTCAAATGCCAGCTGAATTCCTGACTAAAGGGACAATAGTCAGCAATTTCTACTGAGCCACCATAGTAAGGCAGTTCTTCTGCTGGTACTCCATTAAGATTGTCAAAGTACTGCAAAGCAAAATACAGTAGTGAAGCAGTTTGTGCAAAGGCAAGAGTACAGCTGTTTTTTTAAATAGACCAAATCACTGCAGCTGCAAGAACATCAGCTGTTACTACTCAGGAATGCTATTAACAGCACCTTACAATACCCATGAACCAGGTGAGCCAGAAGTATTTAAGAATACATAAATAATGCAGAGATTCACATCTACATGCATCCAGCTTCTGTCCCTGATTCCCCTGTGTAATAATTACATTCTTGGGATGCAAACAGAACAGATTTCTTAGTGTGCAGTGACAAAAGGCAGAAGACTGGGGGAAGAAATCCCTCAAACAAGATATTTTGGGGGACTTCTGTCACATGGCAACATTTCTATCTGGTATTTGGCTAGACAGCAAAGCAACATAATTTTCTTTTATTAAGATCACAAGGGGTTTTTATCAGTCTTCCAACTCCTTGTAATAAACTAGGTAGACATTTTTCACAGTATCTACTGTCATCTGATAGTTCAGAAGAAAAAAAACAGAAACAAATACAATCATCAGGCTGCAAAGCTCAACAATGAAAACACTCCAGTTATTTGTAAAGTAGGATCCATTATACCTGATATTCCTGAGGTAACTGCTTTGGAAACTTCTGCAAGTTGCACACTGCTACTGCTCTTTGGTCCTGCCTGCAGGTTAACTGCAAAGGATTACTCCTCAAAGTGTCGCAGTATGGACTGATTAATTGCTTCCTCAAAAACAAAAAGCAAGCCAACAAAACCAGAATAAAAATCACATCAGATCAATTAAATTGCTTTACATAAGCAGCCTGTCAAGACTGTTTGTTCCCATTCTCCCCTAGACTCAGTCAATCACACAAAGAAGCACTGACTTCTTCTCTGGAGGCTAGTATTTCTTATTTGTCTGGTTTTGACCTTTCTGATTTAAAGACTATCAAGCCAGCAAACAAAGTTACAATGCATTCAGCTATTTAGTTTTAATGACACAGCTTTGTAAATTTTAAAGAACAAAAAATATAAGCAAAACAGCCCCACTATGCAGCTGTGTCCCAGAAATGCTTGAGGATTGTAAAGAACAAACAAGGTTTTAAGGAACAAACAAGACAGCCATCTTCCAGACACAGCCTGCCATCTCCTTCAGCTGCTTTAAGTACAGTCCAGCAAAATGACACAGGCAGCATTCCCAATCAAAAGGGATAAAATAAGAAGGCAAAAACTTTTAGAGTGAGTCCTACCTGTCCTTTCTAAAGTGCAGCCTTCTTATGGTGTAAAAGCATTCTGCACCCTGCTTGCCTCTATTTCTTGTAATTAGGTGAGATGCAGAGCAGTATTCCTTTTTCATCTCTACCAACCTCTGCCTCTTTGTACTGAGGTACATTTGAAAGACAAATGTAGACAAGCATCAGGGTTTCCTCTTTATTTTAATTTTTTTTTTAAGACTGTATTCTTACTTTTGTCTCTTCTGGTCAATCCAGAATTTGCAGCTCTTCATTACAAAGTCACAGCCTTTATTGCGTCCCCAGTCTAATTTCTCTGCCATGCTGTAATTTGCTTTGTACCATCTGTAAAGGTATTTTGAAATGAGAATACAGTTACTTCAAAAATTACTGTTCTGATTAATAAAACAGCAGTTCCAAAAATTTCATATTATGCCTTAAGGTTTTCAAATTAAGAAAATGGGAAACTGCATCCCCTTCTGCCTATAGGAAAATACATTATGACTTCACTATTTTTCAAGTCACAATGAACTAGAAGAAAATGTTGTGATCTGCAAAATAACAATGCATACAGAAAGATGAAACCTTAGTCAATTTCTGCTTTCTAACTGCAAGAAGAGCTGAAAAAAATCAATATGTATTGGATACAATTGAAAGAATGCTTACATTAAGACAAAAACTAAATGCTACAAACAGCACTTTGGATTGCAATGCCTGGCTTTTTAAGGCTAGATTAAAAATGGGTTTTGAAACACATGAAGAAAAAGTAACATACAAGGTACGATTACTTGTGTAATGTAAAACTAATTATATGATACTCCACTCTGCTGCAGAGGGATAAGCACAAGTGCATCAATTTGAAATAAAATCAAGTACAATGCAAACCAAACACAAATGAACTAAAACCCACCCTCCCGTTCTCAATTCTTACCCTGTGTCTTCCATTAATGCTAAGGTGATCCTGGAAAAGACTCGATTCTGAGTGTGGGATCCAGTCATTGCTTCATTCTGAAAGTTACCAGTTATGATTGATAAGCCACTCAAAATCATTATTGTAAGAAAATGCTTCTTAGGAAAAAGCATTTTATTCTGTTCTCTTTTTACTATTGCCAATCAAATCCCATACTCCTTCATAAAAAGACTGTCCTGAAGTATTTCCCTTCTTGTTTACCTTACTGCATAAAACAACGACTAGACAATGTAACTCTGCCAAAAATATCACACAGTGCTAAGTTACAAATAAAAATTAGCTTAAATGCCAAGAGGGAAGTGTTTCCTTGGTCAGGCTACGTTCTGGAGGAGCCAGAACAAAAGCTAAACCAGAGCATGTGAAAAAAGATGAAGTCAAGATAATAAATAGAATGATGAAGTATTTTAGAGGCAGAGGGCAACAAAACTCAATTGACTAAAAGGACTACTCCCTCTGCCACAAAACAGGAGCAAACCTTCTCAAAAGGGTAAATGGCAGACAGGAGTAAGAGACATTTAGCTTTTCAGTAACACTTGATCTCATACTCTGAAACCTAGCAAGAAGGCTAAAAGACAGATGTATCTAGAAATCTGACCTCTAAATATTTAAGTATCAAGTACTATTTGTGATGTATTTCAATGAGGTTTGATACTCCTGCATTTTCAAGGCTCCAGTAGGTACCACCATAAACCTAAAAATCAAAGCACAGGTAGCAGACATTTCCACGTTCCCTTCCATTCCTAGTATCAGCACAAACCTCCAACAACCTCTTCTCCCAGTGGTTGAGCTCAGTACCCATGCCACCTTGATTTTCAAGCTCCATTCCCTCTAGAATTGGACAGTTAAAATGTTTTCGGGCTTCTTCCTAGAAAGAAAACATTTCAACACAGCTCTCAAAATACTGAGATGGACACCCACATGAAGTCCTAGTGCTCTGGAATTACCTATTAAAAGTATTTCAGCATTTCTTTTTCTACCATTTTGTTTTCTACTCAGAGGCTGACTAAGCAAGCACCCCAACAGCAAGTCTATCATACTATCTACTCATCTCCTTGAAATAAATGAGCAAAACCAGGGGTAATTAATCCATGTTTGCTCTATATACTGTCTTAGATTTAAAACAAAAAGATTATTTGTGGCCAAATGAGATTAACACTATGACTTATTTCCAAATCCAATTTGTTAACACTTGAGCATATGTTCTGCTGAGGGCACAAAGAGAGAGTCTGACGCGTGGGAAGCAAGAAAGATTTCTGAAAATCCTTGAGGAATTTCTTTTTAAACATGACAAAATATTAATATTAAAGGAGCAGGAGGTGTCTTAAGTCTGTAGGAAAACATCTAAAGAGTAGGATTAAGGAATTTCTTCAACATCTGTTTTGCTTAACCTTTTATAATTCACCTTCCTGTCATTTCATTTCCCTTCCTTTTCTCTTACTATGTCAATTTATTAATTTCATACTGTCTGTCACCCATTTTCTACTTTACTTTAGCTACACCCTCTCAATTACACAATGTCAATGGCAAGGGCTTTGGGCCATGCTTTCAGGGATGAGCATTCTTCAAGAATAAGAAATATTTAGGACTCAAGAATGTCCTGGCAACCTTGGCACACAAAGCTTGAAAGGCAATGCACACTTACGACGACGCGAGGTGTCACCAGAAGATGAACAGCATGGCGCAGCATTTTGCCACCACGTACATCCCACAGCCTCACTGCTTTATGAACAACTTTATTGCTCCACTGATACAAACCTAGGCTGTAAGGAGAAGGTTTGGTTACAAATCCTTCCCACAAAGAAAGGCATGGTACTGTGCAAAGATCTATCTCCATAAGAAACAGAATCATGAATAATCTCTATATTCCCTCATGCTTTCTAAATGCTGCATAAAAATTTTTTTATGCAGCATTTCTCCTTTTTAAGATGTGTTTATTATACACACAACTGATTTAACAAGGCAAAGTAAGATTAGTTATAGACTCAAGGTGCGTTTTCTACAGTTACCAAAAATATAAGAAATTAAATAAAACCCCTCAGTATTGCTATTATAAAAAAAGCTCTCTACCCCTCCATCTCCTAGAATAATATCTACAATACCAACTAAAACGTGAAAAAAAGCATGCAAACTGCTAATTCTGTAACAAATCAGAAAATTCACATAGCAGATTACACACATCATCCGTTCTGCATAACCATAAATCTTAAAAATGAACTGCACTGACATTAGGCAGCACGGATAATTGTAAGGCTTAACTTCCAGCCTTCTGATAAATGAAATCCTCTCTTAGTTTATGGTATATGTGGATAGTATAAGTGCTTAATGACAATCTAAGGAAACACTAGAGAGTCACCACTCACCACTGTTTGAACATTATAAAGGAAAGTCACTCTAATAATGGAATGAACTGGATTTTTAACAGGCAAGAATACATCCTAAAAAAGCAACATGAAAACATTCTTCACTGGGAGTACCAAAAGATCAAAAAAAATACCTTTCATTATAATGAGGAAGTCCATCTGCATATCTTGGTGTCAAAGGTTTTCCATCATCATCACGATAAAATGCAAACAGTCCAGCAGAGAAACCCTTCAAGTCAAAAAACAAGCACATGGAAACCTTTGGTAAGACATTCATATACAAAGTGAAACACCATGAAAGAATCCCCACACTCACCAGAGACAAACTGAACTACAACACTGCAAGGCAATTAACACAAATTGAAGGAGGCAAAGCAAGAGCTTCCCTCCACCAAATATCCTTCTCTTGGCAACAAGCTGGAGGCATGTGAGCAAGCAGGCATCCATTTCAGGGCAACATTTTATCAACTCTTACCAGTGCATGGATTATCTCGTGTTTCACTGTAGACAACATGCCAACAAATTCCTGAGCTTGCGTTGAAATCATGTTTGGACACAAGTTAGCATATCCTGCTATTGGCCTGGAAGAGAGTTTTAAAGTGAAATGGTTTTTGGAAAAACACTACAAAATTCAAATCATTGCTCAACTTGAAGCAGCAGAAGATCTAAAGAAGATACAGACTAATGTAAAAATATGTCCTTCCCAATAATTAATAAATATCTGTTAACAACACAGTGACTAGTTTACTGTTGGGATGGAGAGTGGTGGGATGGGGTCAATCAATTTCTATATCTAGTACTCTGCACAGGTGTCAGTGACAAGGGACCTGAATTCTAGGTAAGATCCTAAGGGAGGTACAAAGACTGTGACAGTAACTACAACTGAATGGAAACAAAATATAAGTAGGAACTTGCATTCTTTAAGTTTATGAAATCATGACATTCACCTTGGAGAAACAGGATCTTGAGAAAAAGTTTAGGCAGTAACAGTGGAGGATCAGTTTTCAGTTCTGTTTCTCAACTCTGCAAGTAAAGCACTATTTGATGGGTTTGTGATTTTACATAAATGCAGTGCTTGTCCATGATGGCACCTCCTTTGTTATACAACAAAGGCAAACAATCAAACCCCACATCCGAACAATCAAGAAACTCAAAAGTTTAATTAAAAACAGAGTTTGCAGCAGAGGGAATACTTGCCTGTCCATTTCAGCTTCCAGTTGGCAGTAGGCTGCATATGCAATGATATTTTCATGGCCACACCTGTCAGTGGTGAGAGCACTCACGTAGAGCACAAAGTCAGCATCTCGAACCCCCTCCTGCTCGGGGGAGCCCGTGGGCCTGCGGTGCCAGTCACTGTCATTGTACACCCTGCATTGCTGTACAGTGGGCAAAGGCAACTGTTAAACACTTCACTTTTCACCAACATTTGACACAATTCAATTAGCTTGAAGCCAAGAATAAATCCTAATAGACAGCAGAAGATAAGAAAACATCCTGTGAAGAGCAGCAAACAAAACCAGAGCCAAGGGATAACTTTCAAATGACTAACTCTTATGATTTATTAGATACAAGGAAGGTGGCAGCTTTAAAAAAACAAACAAAAAAAAAGCCTGTCAAGCTTCCCAGGATTAGCACCCCGTATTTCTTATAAATTAAAAAAAAAATCTTGGCTCACAAAATTAGTATACATAAGTTTCTCATGTAATCTGTATTTTTAATGACACACTTGAAACTTCTAAGTTAAAGAAAGAAAACCAGAAATCTACCGATCACATACTGCAGTTGAATCAAGAAAACAAGTCTGAAGCATTTCTTGCACCATGCTCCTGAGTGGATTACCTCTTCAAACAAAGTCTTAAAAAATCAACTATTAACTCTGTGAAATTCCAACTCATTGACCAAGGTGAATAACAAAGTGACTAATGGCAATTTAGCAAGCTCCAAATCTCATCCTCTCTTTAGAGGCCATTAGAACACTGGCTCAAAAGGCAGTAACCAGTTCCTGTTTGTTTTTTTATTTGAGTTTGGATTCAACAACATAAACTACAGAAACTGACACTAATTTAAGTTTTTCTATTCTTTCATTCAGACTTAGTCTCCAGCAAACAGGTCACTTATGCACAATTACCAATATTCACTTTTTCATTAATTACCATAAATAGCAATATTTCAAAGATTAGGAAACACTTGGACAGCTGAGCTTACCTGGAGATGTTTCTCAGGAACTATAACTGGCCCACACCTTGTATGGTCTGCACAGGCTTTTTGGCAATATCTGTGAGGGTCAGCTTTCCTCCTTAAATATTGGTTTGTCACACATTGCCTTCAATGAAACATGAGACAGTTAAAGGAGAACTACAGAATAGCCTTACAGCACTCTGTTGGTACTTGATATTGCTTTCACAGTAAAAAATATTAATTACTTTACCAAGGAAGACATAATGCTTCCAGTTGTTAATGGAGCATCCACAAGCTCAAAGAGAGACTAGAAACAGGTTCATAAATGGGGGTACACATAAAAGAGAATTGGAAGCATGTATAGCTTTGAATATCTACAATTTCAATATTTCAATTGCTACAGCAAATGCAGGTGTTGGTTGTGGAAGACTGGCAGATTTGTACAAGAGCATCTGCCACTGGATCAGATGGGTCACTGATCTGATTCAGCAGGGCATTTGCTACACTCTAATCTTCTTTCAAAGGCTACGCAGCACAGTGTTAAATATCAAATATAGCAAGTGATTTTCAGCAGACTTTCACTCACCTGCTAAGCAATATAGCACCGGCAGATTTGCGCACTTGAAATGTCTTCTCCAAATAAGATATAGCTTGTGGGAACAGTTTGTTCTGAAAAGAGCAAAAATCAGAGTCACCCAGAGCAGTGCAGACACACCTCACTCCAAAGGCATTAACCACCAAGTTACAGGAAACTTGCTAGATATTGTGGTTTAGCACAATAGGGGAAAGCCTGACTCTCTGAGAAGTTCAATTATTATGAACATATTCAGGAAATACTTTGTTTAAGTATTCCCATATGTTGTTATTGGAATGAGAAATTGGGAAGGAAAACAGTATTAATTAGAATGTACAATTTCAAAGAGGCTTTTAAAAACTTTATATGCATTTCTCACTAATACTTTTGCACCTTGGGATATAGCAAACACCCTGCAGCAGAACTCTGGAATTATTTGTTATGGAGGTATAATCTATACACAAAGCTTTGGTTTCCTAGACTAGGGGAATACTAAATTGCTGGCATTCAAGGTTTTAGTTAAACTGGCTTTAAACTTAATTTCATCTATATTACATACAAACAAAAAGGGGAAGCAAATATAACGTACCTTTATAAGGTGTCTTTTCTCAGGCAGCAAACTATATTTAAAAAACAAAACAAACGAGCTTTAGTTCACAAGGTTTCCATTCTCAGCCATGGGGGGAAAAAAAAATCTGCCACACCATTATACTCACTCCTCAACGCTTCTGTCATACACAATCTTAATTCTTAGCTGTTGATCCACGTTTCTCTTCGAGACGTGATTTTCCTTTAGAGGAACTTGATAGACGACCTGGCAGGGAGAGGCACGAGGCGGGATGAGGCAGCTCACCCGGGCTGACACTGCGGCCCGGCCCCGGCTCCCTCCCGCCGGCAGCACCGCTCCGAGCCAGCCCCCTCAGCGCTTCCCGACCCTTCCCTCGCCGCAATGGGACGCTCCGTGCCCACCCGCCGTCCTTAGCGCCCACAGCCGGGGCTGCGGGGCCAGACCCGGCACAGCCCGGCCCGGATGCAACAGCGGGAACGGCCAACAAGGGCGCCTCTGCCCCCCAACACCCCTCGCGGCCGCCTGAAGACCCCCGGCTATCCCACCTGGTCGCCGCTGGGTACGCGATGGTGACAGGAGGAGGAGGCGGAGATGCTGGGGGGCAGCCGCAGGAGCAGCAGGAGCCCGGCGGTGAAGGCGACGAGCGGCGGGCGGCAGCAGTGGATGGGCCAGGCGCGCCCGCCGCCAGGCTCGGCGGCCATCTTGGAGTGCCCGTCCGCCGCGTCGCCATGGAGGCAGCGCCCGGCGGGGGAGCGGTCTCCGCCAATGGGCGGCCGGGACGGGAGCAGCGGGCGCTTCTGATTGGACGCGATGCCGAGAGAGGCGGGGCTGGAGCTAAGCGGGGACAGCAGGCGGCCCGGGAGGTGCGGGCGGAGTGACAGGGGCGGGGCGGGGCGGGGCGGGACGGGACAGGACAGGACAGGACAGGACAGGACAGGAGCCCCCTGAGGGCCGGCGCTGCCTCAGGGCTGCCAAGGCCACCGCTAAACCGTGCCCCCAGCGCCACATCCACACGGCTTTTGAACGCTTCCACCGCCTCCCCGGCAGCCCATTCCAATGCTCGACCATCCTTTCTGTGAAGGAATTTTCCCCTATGTTCCACTTAAACCCTTGAGGCCGTTTCTTGTCTTGTCTCTCGTAACCTGGGAGAAGAACCCGACCCCCACCTGGCTACAGCCTCCTGTCAGGGTGTTGTACAGAGCAATAAGATCCACCCCGAGCCTCCTTTTCTCCAGGGTGAGTTTCCCCAGCTCTGTTCCCTTCTCTGGACACACTCCAGCACCTAAATGTCTTTATTGTCGTGATGGACCTAAAAATAAGCACAGAACTTAAGATGCTTCATGAGTGCCCAGCACAAGGGACAGTCACAGCCCTTGGTCCTGTGGCCACACTATTGCTGATACAAGACAGGATGTCACTGATCTTCTCAGCCATCTGGGCATGGGCTGGTTCATAGCCAGCCATCTGTCAAACAGCACACCCAGTTCCTTTTGTGACTGGGATTTTATTAATCACACACAACACAGGCTTTTCCCAGCTTCTCAGTCCACAAACACTGAACAACAGAGGAACCCCCCCATTTCTGCTATGGAAATGACTGAAGAAACTTTTACCACCAGTGATGAAAGTTATCTGGGCTTTTGAGGTTCTTTATCTTGCAGCTCCTGCTGCTTTCCAAGATAATCAGGTATAAAGAAGGCCACACAAATACAAAGTGGTGTGTCCTGGCTCTCCAAGCTGCTTGGTGACAACAATGGGAGAAGCCGTGGATGCCTGGTGCTTTCAGCTAAACCGAGTTGCTTTGGCTGCTGCAGTGTTTCCATGACACAGAAAAATACCCCCAAAAGCAGAAAAATATTAAAGGACTCCTCACCTTTTCACAGGGAACAAAATCTATTAAGTGGGAGTGGGTAACACTCTGCTTTGCTTTAAATGGGAATTTATGCAGGACATTTATTCATCTGAAGTGCTGCATGAGCAGTATGCTATGAAAAGCAGAAATTGTTTATATTGCAAACTTCAAATACTGTAAACCCTTTTCTTCTTTGCAGACAATGAGAACATCATGACAAAGTTTTAAGACATCATGGCAGCTATTTGCAGCACAGGTCCTTTTTTGGCTAAGGCAGAATAATTTCACCTGGAAATTGTACAGACAAGTCATGTCACTCAAACAACACAAGAAAACCATTTTGTCTTGGAAATCTTTATTGCATCACTGTAACAAATTCAAATATGAAGCAACACTTTTAAGTAAAGTGTGTACCTCTAGCAGCGCAGCAATACAATGTAGCTGTTTGAAACTACTTTTATTAAACTGAGTATATGGCTTTTGATTGGCAGTTTTAAGGTTAGGATGTGATTAAAAGCACTACTTGAAAAGATGCTATTATTTACAGTTTTTAGAGAACTTTAAAAATTTTTAAGTTATTTAAGCATGTAAAATGAGTTATGCCTCTATATTGACTCTGCAAATTGGTGATTCTACAAAGCGTCAATGATTCAGTGTCAAAAAGAAAAAAATTTAAAAGTCTCTCTTTCCAGTCTTGAAAACTGCAAAAGCAATTACTTTGTGGAAGCTGGAAGTAACAAGAGGGGACTACAGAGAATTCCCCTAAGAAGTGGGTATGAATACAGTGATTTATACCTAAGGAATAACCAAAGTATGCTAGGGTAACAGACAGGTAGGTAAGGGGTCTGAAATAATAAATGCAAAGTGCATGTTCATATTGGCATTCTTTTTCTTCCAGACTTTTAGCACCAACAAGGCTGAGTGGATACCTAAGGATGACTGAAAACTCTGCTGGTGGGTGAGGTAATTAGAATCACAGCACTGCTTTGATTGCAAAAGACCTTTCAGATTCCCTCAGCACAGAGCATTTTGAATAAATTCTCACAAGAAAGTGCTTTATGGTGACTACTGGAAACAGGAACATGCAGAGGTTCTCTGACCGACCCCACACCTCTTACTGCTGGCCACAGGTAAGGCAGAGCAGCTTCCTCCTCTACCACTCCCCTCTGCCTTGTGCAGGAAGAAGTTAAAGTTGTTCTCACAGCTCTTGCCTACATCTCTGCATAACTGAACTTGAGATGTGAGTACTGAAATAGCATGCTCTAAAATATTTGCTTATGTTGGTCCTGTTGATAATTTGAAGACATATTTCAACACATGGACAGATCAATAAAGAAGAAACCTAGATGTAAAAAGAATTTAAAATTGCTCTGTAAATTCTTAAATGTAAAAGGCACTAAAATTTTCAAGACTATTAAGATCATTCTACTATTTGAAAGTAATAAGGTATTGTGGATATGCCTGAATGTCATTAAATATGACAAACATTGTGGGATTAAACTCGTTATTGACCACACTGTCAAACAGGTCAGTAGGATCTGCTTGGCTCCTTGCTGGTGGAGCCTTCAGTCCTGCTCTCCCAGCACAGTACTGCCCAGTCAGGACCCGAGCCAAGTACATGTGTTTCCTGCCATTGACATCTGGAACAGAATAAATATCCTGGGCAGAGTAACTTGCATGGACAGCAAAGTAGGTTCCATCTCCAATGGCTGCAGCTGTGAGGAAAAACAACATTTTCAAATACAGTTAACTGTTCTTATTCTCTTCAGAATCTCTAAAACTCCTTTTTTTTAACTCTGCAGAATCTATAAATGTGGTTAGAGTTCAAACACAAAATTCTAGTACTAACCCTTTGTATCAGAATCAAATATGAACCCACATAGATAGCAGATAAATATCAACACTCAGGTTTTGACTTCTCTTTCCTATGGAGAAAAGAACTCCTCTGTTTAACATCGTTTAGCCTGCAATCCATCAAATTGCAATTCTTCAGAGACTTTTGGACTTACGACTATATAAGTGTAATTATAGTTTTCTAGTCACACTTCTCAGCAAGTCAGAGAAATCACATGTCTTTGTTCAAGACAAATTTCTTTTTTCTGACATTGGTATAACGCTGTTCAGACCAAACAGGTCCTTCCTATCTGGCTGCCCTGATCTTTGGATACTTTTGCTTGGCTACTCAGCCTCACAGAAGGCAAGTGTGCCTTCCCAATCATTAATCACAGCTGAGATGAAAAGGTGGATGAAAAACAGAGAAAGGACATGGGGATCTAGGGCTCTTGCTTCCTGAATAAATCCAACCTCCTGACACTACCAAAGAGCAAGAAAACAAAACTACATCTCCTCTGACCATGTTTTAAAAAGAAATGGTGGCTGCATTTCCTACCTGTGCACAACCTGATATATTTTGTGTATGCTGGGCTTCATTTATTAAAGAAAATCTCAGAGTTAGTACCTGCAGAGGATCCAGACAGAGAAAGGTCTTTGGATCCAGACCACACTGAAGTATCAACTAGATCTGAGTTAAGCTGCCCAGCTCTCTCAAGATCAAATCAGCCCTAGGCATGTACAACTCTGTCTCAAGGAAGAAAACATTAAGAACAAAAATTAAGGATTTCTGAAGTGAGGTTTCATGGCCACTAAAATCAACTAGCAGCTCAATTCAGTCCACATTCCACTTCTTTGGATCCTGTCCTTCATCTCTGAGTGCTGCCAAATAATACACATAACAAGATTACTAGAAGTGGACAGAACAAGCTTTGAACTACTGCATAATATCTTTATGTTAAATATTTAAGTTGTCTCTAACAACTATTAAAGGCTAAGAATTAACTAATGGATCTCACAGATTTTGTAAGCATAAAATTGGTACAGATGTGGGATCTTAAACTGTCCTAATCTTTGGAGGCAACAGGAGAAGGATTTGCACTTCTACTTTGCTACCTGTCTTTGTCTAAGAGGAGAGGAGACACCATCAGCTAGTGGCTGTTACATCAGCTAAGGATGTTGAACAGTGTTCCTTGTTCCTTTCTCTAGGTAAATGACACAAAACAATTCCCAGAAGCTGCCCAAGCTTCATTTCAGAGCAGGGGAACTCTTTTTGATATCCTTTACCTGGTGGCATCCAGCAACAAGTGCTTAACTGAACAGAATAATTCCTCTGTCCATATAGATTAATCTCAGGAGCTGTTTATTATTGTGTTCTGTAATTTTATTAAGCTTTCATGTTGTGCTGACAGCACTACAACAGTGACACCCTGCAGCTCTCATACATGCCTTGGAAATCAACTGATTTGGATAATGACTCACCATTCTTTCCAGCATATCCACGATTAAATCCATAGGAGTTAATCAAACTCAATGAGGATGCAGCTGTCCCATGAAATAGCAACCTCTCATTATTTTGATTTTTGTTCTTTTCACAGATAGATTTTTTTTTTAATTGATATGTCTGCCAGAGGATGCGATTTTGTATTCTTTCAATCTGCAAAATTAAAAAATTAACTATATTTATATGAGGGGAAAATGAGGTAGGGATGAATATTTATCATGGCAGAAAAACATTAAAATGAAATCAAACTGAAAGAATTAGAGCAATTTTCACTATGTCCTGGTACTATGAGGTTTGGGTAAAGGAACTGAATATGTAGGCATCCTGAAAAATCACAAACCAAAGCAGCTCATAAGAGTTTCAAGCTCAGTAATTTTGGGTATCCATTTGTCTTGCCCAGTGTACCAGGTACCCAGCAGTCATGGTGGCTGTGCATTGTCATTTCTAGGAACAGGCTGCTGTACCACTGCTAGAGGCAATGATGGAAGATGCCTTCTATACATCCTCATCATCTT